GTTGTGGCAGCAGGAGTGGCAGGTAGCACCATTAGGATGCTGTCTGTCATGTCCAGGAGTGTCCTCTGTGCCTCCTGTCATAGGAGCACACTACTTCCTTTGTTCCGGAACTCCCCTGCACCTTTGATCTGCCCTGACTGACCGTGGCTCCCTGGTGTGCATGTTGACTTGGCTCCAGGGAGCACGACAACAAGGAAGGCCAAACAGATGTGCTGACTTGAGAGAAAGTGGGTAGGGTCACAGGCAGGCAACACGCACAGGTCCAGCTTGGGTGTTGAGCACCAAATCAACAACGAAAGAGTACAGGGGCAAAATTTTGCCAAAATCATGTTACCAAATTTGTGAGTTAGCTGGGTGTGGTAGTGCACGCCTGTAATACCGACACTTAGGAGGCTGAGGCAGGAGGATCACTGGGTTACAAAGTGAACTCAAGGCCAACCTGAACTGTACAGTGAGACCCTATCTCAAAAAGACCCCTCCCCCCCCAAAAAAGGGGGAGTTTCTAAACAGTCAAGTACCAGGTGAGACTGTGATACTCAGCTTCTTTGAGTTCCTGAGCAGGTGCCGTATGTGGCTGCTCTGGGTCTCTGCTGGCAGACACAAAGCCGGCGTTCTTCTCCTTGGTTTCTTTGAACGGCTCTGGAAATCCTGAAACATCTCACCTTTAATGTCTTGTTGGATCTTTGTGTAAATCGCACTGAACTCGGGCGGTTTCCTTGTTTAGCAGCGGTGTTGGACTCCTGCTCAGGTTTTGCAGTTCTCATGGAGTCTGTTTTCATTGTGATTTCCCCCAGGGATTTCTCCTCTACCCTACTTTCAGGTTTTTTACTATAAAATTGTCACAGTGCCCGCTGTGTCCTTGTAGCCTGTGGGCTGTCCCTGCTCCTGACACGTGTTTGTGCCTCTGTGCCTCTCTCTTTATCTTGCTCTCTTGTGACAAAATATTGTTGGTTTTATTGATCTTTTCTCAGAACCAGCTTTGGGGCCTTTCCTGTGTTTTGTGTTTCATTAATTTCTGACTTTAAAATGATTTCCTCCCTGCATGTTAAATTTATTTTTTGCTTTCATTTTTCTTTGAGGCAGGATCTCACTCCATACCCCAGGGTGGCCTGGAACTCATGGCAATCCTCCTGTCTCCGCCTCCTGAGTGCTGGGTTACAGGCATGTGCCATCATGCCTGACACTTTTGTAACTTTTTGAGATATATTTTGTGTCTTCTGTTTCAGCCTTTTAAGTCTTTAATGTGCTCTGAGTCATTCCCTTTAAGAGCTGATTTGGCTGAAGCTGTAAGCTATGATATGAAATATTTTTGTTACTATTCAATTCACATATTAGATTTTGACTTAATGTTTGATGGCTAGATTTTGCAGATCCTTTTTTTGTTCTTTCCAGTTTTCACAATTGGGTTTGGAGACCCGCTGTCTGCCTAGTGTCCACGTCTTGACCTCCCTGAGATTTGCTGGTGGCAGATGTTCTCAGCCCAGCCTCCCGTCTTTGGTGGAATGGCAGGCACTGCAGATCCTTGTGTTTTTCGTGTCACTGTGCTCACAGAGTGGGAGCTGCCAGCTGTAGGATTACAAGCTGGTGGCCATGTCCTTTCTGCCACTCACAGCAGCGTCCTGGCCCATGTAGCGGGCCCTGTCAGGCTCCTCCCTGAGGAGGAAGGTGATCAGCCTATTTGCTCTGTCTGCTTTTATGATCAAAGTTTGAAACTCTTTGATTCAAGGGACATCATCAGGGCGGTGGAAGACACAGGACAGGAGATCACAGAGATGCTGGAATGGATTTAGAGCTTACTGCAAGGATTCAGAGCCTTGTGCTGTTGGTGACAAATATCCGGTGATGCCCAGGCCTGTGGGGCCCATGGATGGGTCAGGTGCTGGGTGGCCCACCTGAGCAGTCGCCGTCCTCCCCAGTGCCTCACAGTTCTCTGTGTGGCTGCTTCTGATTGGAGGAGGTACTGGTGCCCCATCGACTCAGGTCTGCATTCTGGGTTAACGTGATGAACAGGTCGCCTGTTGCTGCCTCCTGCATAGAGATGTGCATCCGGTGAGAGCTCTTATGGAGAGCAGAAAGAAGGGGCTGGAGGTCTGGTGGGTCCAGCCTGGGGCACCTCACAAGGGACCCCAGTAGGCCCAGCCAGAAGCCGGTTTCAGCTCAGTGAAAGCTGGACTTCACAGTACATCATTCCTGCCTGACTTTACCACCTGCCTTCAGGAAGCCACGCTCAAAGTCGCTGTGCTATGGGGTTCAGTACCCATATGCCATGCTGTCTTACTTTTTTCCACTGCTAAGACAAAATACCTGACACCCAAATTAAAGAGGGAAAGGTTTATTTAGCTCACAGTTTGTGGAGATTTTAGTCAACAGCAGCTGGCCTCAGGGTGGCGTGACACAGGTGCCGCAGTCCAAGGCCACAGAAGACAGCAAAAACAACAAGAGTAAAAAGTAGGGCAGAACAAGCCTGTTTTCTTCCCTTATATTGTATGCCCGCTGCCGGCCCTGAGTGGGGTGGTCCTTTACACCCACACCGTCTCTATTTTTTTCTGTTCCACAGCTCTAGGATGTTTACAAAGTAATCTCTCTGGCTCCCTGCTGAGTCACTTAGTTAACCTTCCAAACTTCTCAAGTTGACACAGTGAGCAACACCCTAGAGTAAGGACATATCCTCTTCACCCCAGGACATAGAACTGCCAAGTTACTTAGTTAAACTTTTAGATTTTAAGTTGACACAGTGTACTAACCATATTACTTGTGCTTCACACCTGGGCAGTGCTGGCTGCAGGACAGTGGAGCCCGAGGAGCTGGAGTTGGTGTAGAGGGAAGCAAGAGCCTCAAAGAAAGTGCTCTGGGCTGAGGAGTGGCACCAGGGCCATGGGGTAGGCATGGTAGGGCAGGCAAGACATTGCTTGGTTTACACAGGGAATAGCTGTGTCTTCGGGGGAGGGACACACAGCTCCCCTGAACTACAGCCTCAGCCCAAGAGCCAAGCTATGTGGGAGTCCCCTCACAGAGCATAGCCACAAGTCTGGAAGGAACCAAGCTACTGCCCAGCAGAGCCCCAAGGCATCCTGTTGAGGGTCTGCCGCCAGCCTAGTTCCCAGTGCCAGGACCTCAGGGCCCAGCAGCGACCGAAGATGACTTCTGTACCATTCGCTCAGAGGAGAACAGGCTGTTGTCAGAGAAAGACCTCAGTGAAGCCACATCTGTCCACATGGAAGAGTTATCAGACAACTAGAGGTGGTGGTGCTTGCCTGTCATCCAGGCACTTGGGAGGATGAGGCAGGAGGGTTTCTGTGAATAAGAGACCTTGTCTTAAAACAAAAAACTAGCGTACAAGAATGTTTAGTGGATCATGCATTTATGTTCTTTTGTTCAATAGGGAAAATGTGAACAAAATTAAGAGAAATAACAGATACACAAAAGAATTCAGATAAGTCTAGAGATGGGAGACACACTGGATGGGACTGACAGACATAGGAAAAGTTGGCTGTGTTAGCTCTTCTGTGACACAGGCTCAGGATGTTTACAAAGTTGCCCAAGAACAGCAGCTGAGAGGAAAAGTTTTTGCTCTGGCTCATGGTCCCAAAGGCCTTGTTCTATGGTTGGTAGCTGAGGTGGCATCATAGCAGAGGTGTGGGAAGCAGGGACAGGGCCCAGAGGGAAGGAGCAGGAGGAGCGCAGTGCTCAGGTTCCATGCCCCATGGCCTGCTTTCTGCCAGGCCCACTCCTGCCCCATCTCCATCCACAGCAGCTACTGAGAGGTCAGAGCCCTCCTGCCCCAGATGTCCCTCAAAGCCCACCAACTAGGCCCTGCACCTGGCCTCTGGGGCATTTAATATAGAAACCAAACCACACTGTGAAGTGACTCTCAGAGTAGGAAGACAGGAAGCTGCAGGGCCTTGGGGAGACCACACTGTGTGGCCAAAGCCTGGGGCTGCTCTCTGGAGAAGAGCTAGTGCCTGTGAGGGAAATGCAGTGGTTGATATTTTTCTAGGTGTTGCAAAAACTCACCTCCATGAAACAGCAAGCGCTGAGCTGAAGCACAAGGAGAAGTACCAGGTGTCCATGGTAGAAGCAGCCAGAGGCAAAAGCCTGTTACACAGGGAGGAGCAAAGGTACAAAAGAAAACCTACAATGGTTCCAAATCCTGAGCATGACTTGACACCAGTTTGCAAAGAGAAGCCTGCCTCTCTGCATTAAGTGTGACCAGATCCCGGCCATGGACCTGCACTGGGGCAGACGCTATCAGGCTCATGGAGGGGATCGCGTGGGGCCTGCCCCACTCAATGCCACTGTCTAAGAAAGTGCTGAGCAGCTGGCTGGAAGCCTGGGTGTTGCTTCTCATGGTTGTCATAGCCAGCTGCAGGGCTCCTAGCCAGAGCTCCTCCCCAAAGCCACTGCCTGCAGGCTCAGCTTCTACACATGAACGCTCTGTGCACTGTTACTTGGCTTTAACAGCAGGACAAATTGTGATGCACACCACCATATAGGAGAGCTGTGGGCCGATGCTCTGCGAGGGGAGCAGGCACAGAAAGACCAGCCTGGGGTCCTTGAATAGCCAGAGGCAGGGAAGGGAGGGACGAGGAGTCTGTGCTGGGGGCCTGATTTCCATCAGGGAAGAGAGGAACTTCCGGAGGGCGTGGGTGCCAGCTGTACAGGAGGTGTGCACGCTGTGGAGACCCCATTGTGCTCCTAGCGTGGCTCAGGGGTGCTTCCTGCTATTTAAAACCCACGAGCGCGGTGCTCAGCTTTGTGCACTTGGCTTTCTCTCTTGGCCACCTTGTCCAGCGTAGAATAGCCCCAGAAAATTTTGATGGGCCATGAAACTGGCATTCGCTTCAGTTAGTGGCTCTCCTCTCACTGGGAAGGGAAAGTGGAGGCGTGACTCAGTTTCCCTGGCATTTGGCCTCCTCAGTATTCAGGGTCCTGCTCCCAGCTGGTTCCATGGGCATCTTCCTGTCTGTGGACACAGCTCATGATTGTGTCTCTCCTTCCAGGCCCTTCCAGTCGGACACCTCTGAGGACAGCTGGTGCCCACCCTGCTGATCCTGTGCCTTGGTGAGTGAGGTGTGCGTTGGTGTCACACGTGTATCTGAGTTTCCTGTTGCAGACCATGTATGGGTGGCCTGGGAGCGTCCTCTCCTGTAGAGAGCCCAGAGGCACTGGTGGTTCTGGCACTGATGGATCCTGGGTCGTACTGGCTGAAGGACAGAGCCTGCAGCACTAAGGGCCTCCTGGGCGGGTCTGTCCATGCTCTGGTGGGCCTTCCTTTGGGTTAGTGCTGTTAGGTTTTTTGCGTGCTTGGCAGAGAAATGGAAGTGAAAGAAAAGGGTAGAAAAGGTCTTTATAGCCATTGACAGGACACTGAGAGGTTAGGACCCATGGCAGGGAGATGGCGGAGCCTCTGACCTGAGTCAGAAATGCTGAGACTTTGTAGACTTTTGCTAGCAGTGGAGCTTGAGTGACACGGGTTCAGTGTTACACAAGGAGCTGATTGGAGGCTCCCTTCTGTGCATGGGAAAGGTAAGAGGAAGTTGTATCCAGGGCTGGAGTGGGGAAGAAAGAGGAAATGGTCATTGGGAAGATAAGTTGTTTTGGGAATTCGGCCATGTTGAGTCAGGGCCATGATAATTTAACAGTTTGTATGTGGGCCGGAACCTATCAAGTGTCTTGTCCCCATCTGTGACTGCTGTTGTGAGGGCTCAAGCCAAGGGAGCCAGGCCCAGGCCTGGGGCCTTCAGCCTTCCTTCTTGGACCAGAGAGACCTCTGCCCAGCCACTGCGGGCTTAGCCTGGGTCCATAACCCTGTGGGCCCAGTTGTGACCAGGGAATGCTTGGGACTGCGGTTGGAGCAACAGGCATGGCCAGGGTTGCTTGCCTCCTCTTTCCCCCCACTTGTCTGGTTTGCAGTTGTGGCTGGCAGTCCTTGCTGTCATGTGACTGTGGCCCAAGCACTGAGATGAGATGCCTCCTGCCTCCTTTGTTTCCAAACCAGAAGGACTTGTTGAGTGTTACTTTGGTGTTACTTTATTATGGCTGCTTATTTCGTGACTGGTGCTGTATGGTTCTTGGCTGCTTGGCACACTGGGCAGCCGACCCCCAGCATTCACAGCCAGTACCTTTTGCTGCCCTCTCCTCTTTGATAAAGTTGCTGTGGTTTTTCAGTTGCCTGAGCTATTGCTATGCTATTGGGAGCAGGACACATTGTGTCCTTTTTTTTTTTTTTTAATGGAAGATGAATAATTGTGTTTATTAAGGGATATGAAAGTAAGAGTGAATTTTCTTTTTTTTATTTATTTATATTTTAATTGTTTTTTCCCATAATTTTATTGATAAACAAATATCAATGAGACAGTTTCAAATCAAATTGGTAGGACAGTTTCAATAATTAACACATTGCATACATTCTTCCTAGTGGTTAATTGTTGTACAATATGTGGACATGATATCCTATTTACAAACACCATTAGAACAAATCACTCTATTCATTAAGAGAATGTAACTATATATCTATCCTAACCATTTTGAATACACAGATACAAAATGGACATTCATCTGTATACTTTTTTTTTTTTGTTAAGTTCTGTTATTTGAATATTATAGTTGTGTAAACTCAGCAAAATATTCCAAAAGAGTCCAGTTGCCCATAATAGTATTGGGTCTTCCGCTTCACTGGCAGTGTCAGAAATTGTTGACCTGAGTCCCCTACAGCTCAACATAACAGCATGGCTTCACTTCTTATATTTCGTTTTTATACTTTTCTGCTGGATGGTTAAGACCAAGGTAAAGCAGGACCTATGCAACAAGAGTTGTAGCTTTTGGGTCTGATAAGGTCAGTCTTAATGTCCAGCTCACAGCTAAGCTGTTTCTTTTGATTTATTTATTTATTTTTCCAGAACCGGGGATTGAACTCAGGCCCTTGCGCTTGCCAGGGAAGCGCTTATTCTGCTGAGCCATCTCCCAGCCCCAATTTTTTTTTTTTTTTTATTGCAGAACCAGGGATTGAACTCAGGCCCTTGCGCTTGCCAGGCAAGTGCTTATTCTACTAAGCCATTTCCCTGGCCCTTCTTTTGATTTAAATAATGACCACCCTCTGGACTTAGGGACAGGGTGAGGCCATGAAGTGGCCAGCATGTCAGTGGGGGCCCATGGCTAACAGTGTGGGGGACAAAAGCCCCTGTCAGGCTGGCAGGGACAATCAGAAGCCAGAGGAGCTCTGCAGGAAGCTGAGCCTGGAGAGGACCAGGATGCTGGGCAGGTTGTTCCTCCTTTCCAGGGACAGAGACTCAAGCTTCTGCCCCAAGTGAGGACTAGGAAGGCGCAGGAAAATCAGTGGGCTGGGTTCTTGCTAGGTCTTTCGAGCTTGGTGGAGGTGGCATCTAAGAGACTAACTCGCTGAGCACCAATGGGGCAACTCCTGGTCAAACCTGCACAACTGTGCACTTTTCCTGGGCCTCATGCCTGCTAGTGTGCTGTTACTAGCTGCACCCTAGCCCCAACTCAGCACTATGAAATTTTTGTTTCTGGCTTGAGCCCATGCCTCCTAAAGGCCTCCCAGGTAGAACCCCTGGAAGAGGTGTGCTCTTCAGGGCCCCGGGAACGCTCCCAGCAGGAAGGGCTGACCTGAAATTCTGAACCTACATTGGGCAGAGGGACAGTGAGTGACCCTCTCAGAGGGTGTGACCGGTTAGCAGTGACTGTAGCTCTCGGGGTCTTAGACAATGGAACCATGAGCATCAGGTCCCTGTTCCTGGGCTTTACCTTGGTGCTCCTGAGCTCCCTTTTGCTGTCGCTGGGACCCATTCAGGGTGAGCTTTGGAGTGTGTGGCTACCCTGCTGAGGAACAGTGGTGCTCATGCCTCACCTGATCTGTGTGTGGCTTTGCCGTGATCTTTCTGGATTTCTCGTGAGGTGACTTGAAGTCCCTAAAGCAGTCTCTTCCCTGTGGCATCTGAGCCACACTTTTTAATGTGTTCAGTTCACAGTCTTGTCTCTTTCCTGTGCTGCTGTTCCTTGGGAGCCTGGCTTGTGAACTTCCTATCACCTGTGGCTCCCTGAGAACCTGGGGGTGGACATTGTCCCCTGCAGCAGGTTACATTGATGAGGTGGCCACAGTGAGGTCAGGACAGGTCAGTCCCGGCTCTCAGGATCCACCTGGAACTAGTGAATGGGAGGCGGATCCAGGGCTTTGGGTGTCTGCATCAGGCTCCCAGGCCCACCAGGGCTGCTGCTGGGGCCAACACGGCCAGTTGCCTTGGGAGACCCAGGGCTCTCTGGGTGGCAGTGCAGCTGGTGAAGTGTTGGTGCTTTGTGAGCAGCATGGGAAGCTACTTTGCTGGTGAGAGGGACCCACAAGACTGACATGCACCCCTGGCGTGGGTCGTGGGTGCTGGATCAGATGCTTCTAGCCTTCACCTGAACTACAGGAGTTTAGTCTCAGACAGCAGCCAATTATCTCTGCCCAACTGGCCCTTTACCTTCATGAGAGGTGGCAGCAGAGGGTGACCTGTGCCCAAAGGAGGGAAACGAGCTACAACTCTCAGCAGCACCCCTGGGTCTCCCCAGCCCCAGAAGGGCCTGGGCCTGGAGGGAGGCTAGGCCTTTCCTCTATAGCAGGAGCAGGTGATGTGGCACAGAGGGCAGCTGGGCCATGGTGCAAGACCCGAACTTTGTACCCTCTTTGCACGCTGAAGGAGATATAGGGAGCAGCCCAGAGCTCTGACTCTGCCCAGCCATACTGCATCTGACTGCTGCAGGGGGGAAAGGTTGTACTCAGCTTAACATACAATCAAGTCAGTTTTTTCCTAGTATTTAAATTTTATTTAGAGAAGTAATTTATGATTGTAAAGTCAAACATAGAGCCAGATAATTAAAAGGCATTGTTAACTGCATGCAGAGCCTAAAAGTGGTTGTATTGATTCTTCAGAGTCATGAAGACATAGGAGAGTGTATCGGCTCACGCAAGTGTGCTTAGCTCCCCAGAGCGTCTCTGTGTTCCATTCCTTGTGTGCCTTGACTTTAAGGTGCCCCAGGTACTTTCCTGTATGCACAGACTCATTTGAAAATACTGTCCCTTGCATATACATCCTAAAGTACATGCACGTGCCAGGTGAGAAATTCTTGTATGATGATTTCCATGCACAGTTCTGTGGCTACTGGTCCGTCAGAACCAGATTAGATTCTGCGATGTGACATGGGGTGTGTCGGGTAGTGAAGAATGGCAGACCCTGTGCCATCTTGGGGTGGCCAGGTCAGTTGCTGCCTATGCAGGTCATGCAGCTGACACAGCCCTAACTGTCCAGCTGGCCTGCTGCCTGCTGCGGTGGAAGGTGGACTTTGTCCCCTTCATGGTGTGGAGCCAGCTCTTCACTCTATCTTGGCCAGCACTGTTTGCAGGGCTCTGAAGTGACGAGGAATGTCCAGGTAGACAGCAGTGGGACCAGGAGCATCTGCTTTTGGGACAGTTGGTGCTGTGCTCTTCCTGGTTGAACACCAAGAAAGGACTGTGTACATAGTCTACGGTGAGTGTAGTACTTGGGTAATGATCCTTCAGCAGTGCCACTGGTCTCTGCCCTCCACAGCCCAGGCCCAGGGACAGGTGGGTGGTGGTCTCCATGCAGCTGTGCTTGCGTATGCAGCTGCTTCATGTGTTGTCCTGTGTATCATGTCCCCACTGTCACCTGCACTGCTTTTTCCCTTGCTGAAGATAGCAGAGAGGTGCAGGCTGCTCTGGGCACTGGGCTTTGGGCACCGTAGTGCCTGGCAACACTGCCTGCTCTTTATCCAGAGGCCCCGACAGCAGAGACCGGTGGCTGCAGGGGTGGCAGAGGGAAGCATCTTGTTCATCCTCACAGCCCCAGCCCTGTGTTCCCTCTCAGCCACTTGCTGGAAGCCTCTGCAAAACTGGGGTCTGAGTTGTGTAGTCCATCTGCAGGCCACTGCTGGTCAGTGCTGCCCCCATGTTCTCATCCTGACATTCAGGGTGGAATTAGTTCCTCCCCTAGCACAGGCTGGCTTTCACTGTCCCCATACCCAGCCTTGAGGACTTCCCAGGGTTT